CAACAAAATAATTGCAGGTCATTTTCAGAAAACTTTTAGCAACCTACCATATTGTGAAAGATTGAAATTCAGCTTTTCTAGTCCTAGATCTCGTTAAATTCCCCATATTTATAATTATGTACTTCGGCCGACTCTTCCTCTTCGCGTCATCATTCACTTACAGTAAGATTCAGGCCTACAAATTTACTTCATGATTTTTTTTTCGCTGTCAAAGTTCGACAATTGAATTTTAGAAATTTCGTTGAATTATGAGAGCTGGTAAACATGCTTGTTTTATGCGCTCACCTTTTCTTGGACCTCAACAAATTTCTCTCATCTTCCCTTAAAGCGTACCTATTAATTAAATGACTGGAATTTAGTAGGATAATTTACGTTCGATATCTAAACACTGGTTAATAGAGCATTGGAAACGTGAAGAAACGTTGGCTCGATTACGAATATTTACCCTTTGACCTATAGTTTCTAGGAGTACTAGACCAGCTTTCATTTTGTTTATTATTCCACCACCTTTACCTATGCTGGAGTTTAATGTATTAAACGTTTTGACATTATGCGGTAATAGAAACCTATGCCCTATGTATAATAATCAAGCCTAAACTTGCTTTCATTTTTACCAAATTTGCCGTAATTATTCCTAGCCCACACCCCCGGTCATGCGGGCTAATCCTACTAACTGTAATGACAGTGTTGGCCACGATGTGTCTGAGCAAATTTTATTTTATTTATTCCTCATCAAGTAACTAAAAGCGATCGTATAGGTTATAGAAATTGTTAAATTACAGATATTATATGATAAACAACGTGATCATATTGTAAAAAAATAAAATAAATGTATGAATAACCTTAAATTAAGAAGAAAACCTATTTTTAAAAAGAACTATTATTTTAACCTTTACACTGATATAGGCTTATTGTGCAATGCTTAATGGACAATAACGACAAATGGCCACAAAATCTGGGAGGGTGGAATAAGCGTGTGGTTAGAATGGGCATAAAGGGCCTTCATTTATTTAAATGTAAAATATCATTTAGGTCGGATAACATATGCTGACGAGATCTTAAAGTTGTTTTACAATTTATGGTCCTGCAATAATACTGTACAATAAACAACAAACAAGAAAACAACCAGGGGTCTGGGGGCCAGGAATTACAAGGTTAGGCTTAACTTCATCACTTAACTACAATGGTAAAAAAAAAAAGACTATCCCCCACCGAACATGGTTTGGTTAGGCGGGCTATTGTATTTTTTTGCAATCATCAATAATTATGCAAACTCAGTTCACCCTTTACGAACAGCATCAACTACACAACATGGAACTCTGAAAAACAAATTGTTCACAACGTCTCTTAATCAGGTAGGATGCAAGAAAAAGAGCAAGTTGTACTCATCATCACAATTCTTGGAACACATACCGCTTAATGAAACTAAATTTAGTATAACATATACAGAGCCTACCGTATCTTTTGAAAAGATTAACAAACCAAACAGTTTATCTGTTTTACAATATCGAAAAATGATTTAAGTACTAATGAGACAACAGAGTAATCAAACGCTATAAACGCTTCAATCAGCTTTTCGCTCTACATCTGTCAGAATTATTGGGCAATAATAAGTGTCTGTGATAATCTTGACCCAAAAAGATAGCTGTAAAGGTTTTGGTTGCGCTGCCCACTACATTACTAAAATATAGGTAGATAATTAACAGTCATTCAGACAGATTCAGGCCATACGATTAGAATTAAAAATAAAACTGATCGATCAAGGTTTAAAGAAGATACTCATTTGGCCTACATGGGCCTACCAAGTATGTCGATGACCGCTGTTATCGCCCCAAAACTGAAACAACAGAAAGTAGACACCCGGATAACATATTATGATTAAAGCATTTCTTCGCTGTCAAACACACGACGTTACAGATATTCAGAAAAAATATGTAAAAATTATCACCATGAATATAGACTTACATCTATTTTTATATAAAAGACATATGGCTAATCAAAATTGTGAAAGCGTGTTGGATCGTCTCTACACGAGAAAGATTCAAGCCTATTAGGCCTAGTCCAACGTGCACATTAATTTTACAAATGTAAACCACACAAAAAGAGTCGTACGTAGGCCTATATATTTTTTTCGCATTAATTGCAATTAAACCTTCCAGAGTGTTCATGAAACTTAACTGAACATTCAAAACGTTTTATTTATCTGCCAGGAATAAATAATACGTGCATGTCCCACAAACGCTCAGATACGTAAATATTTTCGGCTATTTAAGGTTATACACCTTCAAACAATATCCAAAGAGCCTGTCTCTTATACACATCTAGATGTGTATAAGAGACAGACCACAGACTCAAT